AAACGACCAGCGTCGACACCACCACCAACTCAGCGTCCAGTAACAACTGGAAGTTGTGTAGCAGTTCCACCTTACAAAGGCCAGCCAGGAATAGAACAGTGGTGTGTCACCAATTGTGCTCTGGGATTCTGTCCTTCGACACATTGCAAGTGCTCTTGATAAACTACTATCTACATCGAACACTACTGTAATGATTTATTTAGTCTAAATATATTCTTGGTGCTGTTTAAAATGTGTATTACATGTTGATCATAGCTAGCAACATTTGATTCAAAATTAAAAGTCAAAAGTCAGTCAGAAGTCCATAAAAAAAAGTGACTTTAATCCTTGGTGATTGTTATGTCTCACTTCTTGATGAAAAATAAAATTTGTGAATTTCAAGATTTATATGTTTGCTTGTTTCCATGAGTTTAAAATAATTTTATGAGAGCGTTTTGCATTAGACGAGTTTGAATATTTATGCAGCGCTAAACTGCATTTTAACCCTYAAACTAGCGGATATTTTTGATCAACGAACTGGACCCCCATAATCCTCATCGGTCAACGGTCAATGGAAAGGCGCACGTCCATTGGTCGGACGAGAACAATCCACCGGTACTAAATTAGTAAAGATGTACTCACCGAGGGAGGACAGGTAAGTTTTTGCAAGAAATTGCAAACCGACCAATCGGACGTTCTGATGACTTGAAGTTGGTATGTGTGAAAAGGGAATTTATCGTTCTAAGAGGCTGTGAGGTGTAAATTTGCTCGAGTTTAGATTTTAGGTAAGAAAATTTGCATTGTTTGGAGGTGATCGCTTTTCGGAGTTACCAACCTTGTAGTATTCATAATCTAGGGGACCAACATTAAGAAAAAGAGCAGTTTTTTGACTGCAGAGAGCTGAAACTTCGCATAGATGTGTAATAAATTAAGAACAACATATTTTGTGAGTTCATTTTATGAAGATTTCCTACTTTTATTGAATTTTTCGTTTTTCCCCACAAGACCTTCAGAGAGAAGCCGACAAATGCAGTGCTTGGAACGAGACAAACTTCTGTTCGTTTTGGCTGATGTTTTCCATGCTCAGGGATGCCAACTCTCCCGGATAATCCGGGAGTCTCAAGATTTTCGACCGTTTCTCCCGGTCTCAAGATTTTACCGCTAAATCTCCCGGATAATGACGATTCATATATCAGTTTTTTGAAATATCTCTTTTCATCTATTAAAACTCAAATTACCTTGCATATCATTTTAGTTCTGAAAAAATACAAAAATCCCAGTCTTCTGATAACAATAACACTGCACGCCATCCGCGGCCATTTTCAATTGCACAATACAATCTATAATATGATTGGTTAAGATACATCCAGTCAAATCACTAGTTATAACGAAATTTGATAAATGCGATGACGTCATCGATAATGTTATGAAACGTCATTTCCGGTATGACGTCATCATTTTCGTTCTCAAGATTTGAAAAG